CGTCTCCCCCGCCTCTCGCCTCTGCCTCTCAGAGGCAACAGGATCTATGATTAGGAGGCAGGGTTGTTTAGGAAGAGAGCCATGGGGTCCTCGGGCCCGAGCAGAAAGCGGGGTGAAGACGCTGGTGACTGCGGTGCTGTATTTCTGTGCTTCTTCTGACCCAGCCCTTGAAAATCTCTCTCCTTCCACAACTGCGTGTCAGATCTTCCCCCACCGATCCTGGTCCTAAAACCTTGCTTCTGACGCCCTGGGAATCCGTGGTCCCCCTCCCCCGGCCCTGGCTGAAAGGGTGGGGTGGGCGCGCGGGGCAAAGATGGCCTCTCCCTGCCAGACACAGTGAGATCCCCTGGGCAGCAGGCGAGGAAGGAGAGGGAGGGGATCCGTGCAGTTAGACACCGCCCTGACTGGCAGGCCAGACAGGGGTGAGTGGGGAGGAGGGTTAGGGTCCAGCTGCCTGCCTTGGAGGCTGTCCCTTCGCAGCTGGGAGCCCCGCAGCCAGAGTACACTTTTGGAAAGACGGCTGCCCACCTGCTACGCCTGCGGGCTGACTCCGTGCATGCGTGAACACGGGCCTGTGGATTCCAACAGCAATAAAGATGGTGATTGAGCCTCCAGGCAGGGGCTCAGCCAGCCCGGATAACCCCTTCCCTTCCCTCTGGCCAGGCCTTGAGCCTCCACCCTCCCTGCATGCACAGCCACTACACTCCCTTGCTGCCCTGACTCAGAATCCTCTCCTGAGAGGTGAGCTTTGATCAAAAGAACGTGGTTTACCTGTTGTGCATGTAGACCGGGCCTTCTTTCATCAGCTTGCACTCAGGATGTGTTTTTCCCAAACTTACTCTCCGCATTATTGCTGTTCCCCACTCACTGCGTGCCAGGCTTCTCCCTGGGAGTTCGGGGCAGAAATGGATGACAGCACTCCCTCTCTCTGGCCCTGGGGAGACAGGCGTGGCATGCTTGACCTCCTGCTAATTCTCCCTGGACAGGTCCAAAGCCACCCCCAACCTGTCCCAGCTCCCTAGATCTCTGTCGAGAGCCCAAGATGAGACCCAGATTCAAGCTGGCAAGGGCCCCAGCTGCATGCAGGGCATCCAGACCACCAACATTTGTGCGCGTGGGCATGTGTGCCCCCGAGTGTGTGTGGCTAGCTGTGGGGCGGCAGAAACCCAGCAGCCGGGCAGCACCCTCTTCCCGTAAACAGGGACATGTGACTGTCCTTCCTCCTTGCGTGGAGGAGCCAAAGAGCTCAGTGAGAGGAGCTGTCGCAGCTCCGAGGAAAGGACCATCCCGGAGGACCCCACTGCGCAGCCCAGACTGCCCTCCCTCTGCACCTTCTCCCCGGGGCCCAGCCCAGCTGGCAGGGAGGGAAGCCGCTGGCTTAGACTCCCTCAAGCGTGTCTCGTACCCCTTCTTCTAGCAGCGGCTACCTGCTGCCCAACCCCATCGTCACCGCAGTCACCGGCAGCTGCCCCAGCTCCTCCTGCCTCTGCCATGTGCCCTGGGAACTGGCTCTGGGCCTCCATGACATTCATGGCCCGCTTCTCCCGGAGCAGCTCAAGGTCCCCTGTTCGCAGCAGAGGGAGCCTGGCGGAGATGCCACCCATGCAGCATCCCTTCCTCAACGTCTTCGAGCTGGAGAGGCTCCTGTACACAGGCAAGACAGCCTGCAACCATGCTGATGAGGTCTGGCCAGGCCTCTATCTTGGAGACCAGTAGGTACTCGGCAGGCCGGGAATGTGGGTGTGTGTGTGTGTGTGTGTGTGTGTGTGTGTGTGTGTAGAAAAAATAAGCGCAGTAGACACTGAGTTGCAGTGTTGGTTCCAGGTTGAGGACTGAAGGGGGGACACGTGGGTGGCTTTAGGGGAGTTTGGATAGGATTTTTTTTTTCTTTTTTGGTACCAGGGATCAAACTCGGGTCCTTGTGGTTGCAAGGCAGGCGGCAGAACCACTGAGCTAAATCCCCAGCCTGGATAGGATTATTGAAGCACTCAACTCTGGACAGAAAAACTCTGTTCAAGGACTAATGTTATTCACGCAGCAAAGATTTAGCGTTGAGTACCAACCTGCCTCCCAGCCAGGTTCAGCAGATGACTTCTCTGACCTTCAGCTGCTGTGTTATGGCTCCGAGAAAAGGCAGTCCCTGGGTGATGGAAAGACCGGGAGGGCACCCACAGGGGCTCCCTGGAGACCTCGCGCAACCGCAGTTCGCTGCCGGGGTCTGTGGAGACGGCCTCCCAGGAAGAGCAATCCCGCTTCACTCCCCCAGGATTTCAGCAGGCGCAAGGACGGCTTTGTGTGCATTGTTACTCTTAACTCCCGGCAGCCTGGCAAGGAAGGGACCACTCTCCCAGGTCTTGGATAAAGAAAGTGAAGGTCAGAGAAGCTGTGAGTGGCCCAAGGTCACACCGGTCGTAAGCAGCAGGCCAGGACTGGGAAGGTCAAGTTTGGTGCTCTTTCTACTCAGGAGCCTGCAGCAGACGGAGAGGTGCTGAGCAGGACCATTCTGCGTGAGAGGCGGCCACCCGAAGGTGACATTGTAAAACAGGGTAAAGGGAGCCACAGGAAAAGTGGCCGAACAGGCATTCCGGGTACTAACGAGAGTAGAAAATAGTAGAGGAATTAGGTGTGGGAAGAAGTGTTGGAAACACGCAATCTCAAGACTAGTGGCGGCATTAAATACTTTTTCAAATGTTTTACTTTTTTGAGCATAGAACCCATGCACCGCACCCCCGCTCCGTCTTCCCAGCCTTGGCAGCGCTGTGGTAAACACGAGCAGGCCCACAACCTCCCCACGCCGCCCAGACCTGCTCTGCGGTTCCCACGCCTGCCACTGAGTTCCTCTCTCTGCCTCACAGTTCAGCAGCACAAGTGCTGTGTCCCGAGGTCACCTGAGCTCTCTCGGGAGAGACCCCCGTTAGTAGCACTCCTGTGGGAGAGCCTGAAATCTGTTTCCTTGAACTTTAATCCTTTGACCCTAGTTCTCCCTTCAAGGCTCTACATTTAAGGAATTTGATAAATCCCTGCTTCTTTGGAGTGCTCCTTCAGTGTTTTATCATGGCCATTTTCACACGGCTCCTTTAGTCTTCTCTTGGCCGGACAAAGCATCTTCAGTTCTCACAACCACCATTCACACAAGAGTCCACATCGTTAGCCAGACACAGTGGCACACACCTGAACTCCCAGCACTCGGAGAGGCTGAGGCAGGAAAATCACAAGCTCAGACAAGCCTGGGAAACACAGAGATTTAGTGAGACCCCGTCTCAAAATTTAAAACAGTAACAAGGGCTGGGGTGTAGTTTAGAGCAACAGTCGCAGGTCCAATCCCAAGTACCAAAAAAAAAAAAAAAAAGACTCCAACTCAGTATCTACCGTGCTCCCTTCTGAGTGCAGCGACAGCACCTAGGCGAAGCCCTGCCCATGCCTGGCTCCCCTCCCTCCTGTCCTCTTGTCTACACAGGGACATGGCCAACAACCGCCGTGAGCTGCGCCGCCTGGGCATCACCCACGTCCTCAACGCTTCCCACAGCAGATGGCGGGGCATCCCCGAGGCCTACGGGGGGCTGGGCATCCGCTACCTGGGCGTGGAGGCCCACGACTCACCAGCCTTTGACATGAGTATCCACTTCCAGACCGCTGCAGACTTCATCCACCGGGCGCTGAGCCAGCCGGGAGGTAGGAGAAAGGGCAGGAGAGTTCAGGGGAAGCCTCAGGGCTGGGAACAGAGAGAGTTTAGCGCTGGGACAAAACGCTCAGGATATAATGTCAAGGGAAAAAAAAATACTCCTTTGACCATTTTTTTTCTACTACCTAAAAGGACAAGAATGGGCATCATGAGAAGGGTTAGGGATGCCAGTTGTACCCAGATGGTGAGATTGTGGGTGCTGTAGTTTTTTTGTTTGTTTGTTTGTTTTTGTCTTGGTTTTATTGAGACAGAGTCTCATTATGTAGTTGAGACTGACCTGGAACTCACTATGTAGTCCAGGCTGGTCTCGAACTCACAGCAATCCTCCTGCCTCAGCCTCCCGAGTGCTTGGATTACAAGCGTGCACCACCATGCCTAGCTGGGTGCTGTAATTTTTATAAAAACTTATTTCAACACGTTCCACTTATTTTCACCTTAAACATGATAAAAATGCTTTAGTCATCAGGAAAAACAAATACAGTCAGCCCTCTATATTCTTGGGTTCTGAATCCATGCATTCATCCAGCTGTGGATCAAAGATTCAGAAAAGGAAGTCTGTACCAAACCTGCACAGGCTTTTTATTTCTTGTCGTTATTCCGTGGACACAGTACCACAACCATTTGCGTAGCGCTGTATTGTGTTCGGGGTTGCAGCAACTCAGGATGACCTGAAGCACACCGGGGAGGTGTGAATGTTGCATGCAAACACTCCCATTTTAGAGAAGGACCCTGAGCACCCATGGGTTTGGGCATCTGCAGGGATGCTGCACAAAGAAATACATTCAGTGGTCGAGAGAAAAGCAAGTTGGAGGCTGGGGGAGCCAGGTGCAGTGACCTGAGTCCCAGCTCTCAGGAGGCTGCAGCAGGAGGATCGCTTAAGCCCAGGATTGCTGGACCGCCTGGGACAACATATGGAGACCCCGTTTCAAAAAATAAAAACAAACAAACTAAAAAGGGGGTGAAGAAGGCCAGGCTCAACACAAGAGTGTTTCCTAGCCATGCTGGGAAGATGTCCACGCGCCCCTCTCTGTGCAAAGCTCGGTTAGACCGTGGTGAGTGGTCTCCTCCGCTGAGTTCTGCTCAGGTTTATTTGCCCTTGCTGCCGCCTGCCCTCTCCTACTGTGCCGAGGCCTCTCCCGGTTTGCTGGGAATCCGCATGTTTTCCCCCAGTACCAGGAATTGAACCCGGCCAGGGCCCTGCCTGGGCTAAGCTGAGCTCCTGACCTAGCACTGAGCCCCCAGCCCAGGCTCCGAATCTCAATCCTATCAGGTGCCACTAGACATCCACGTCCCTGCCAGCTGCCTCGCACCTCTCTCCTCACCTCCCTGACACCCCTGTCTCCAGCCCTCTCGTTTCTGTCCTGCAGGGAGGATCCTGGTGCACTGTGCCGTGGGAGTGAGCCGGTCCGCCACCCTGGTGCTGGCCTACCTCATGCTGTATCACCGCCTCACCCTTGTGGAGGCCATCAAGAAAGTCAAGGACCACCGAGGCATCATCCCCAACCGGGGTTTCTTGAGGCAGCTCCTGGCCCTGGACCGCAGGCTGCGGCAGGGGTTGGAGGCATGAGTGGAGGGAATGAGGTCAGGTCAGGCCAGGCCTGGCGTGGGTCCCTGGCTCCATCTAGAGACAAGAGGGCAGCAGAAAGCTCAAATAGCCCATCCTCTGCTGGGGCCAAACCCCAGGTCACCGGTAGAAGCCAAAGCTGGGCAGTGTGGTGGCCAGGTGCCCGGGGGGTGCCGACCAGGAAGGGGCAGCTAGGCTGTAGGTAGAGGGGGTCCTGGGGTTGAGACACCGCTGGATGCCAGCCGAGGGGTTCCCAGTGACACGCAGCCCCGTCCCCTCCTTGTGTCCAAGTGTTCTCCTCCCCCCCTTGCTCCTGTGCCCAGCAGGGAACCACAGGTGCTGTAGCACAAACGGGATGGTATGGGGAGGTGCGCAGACCATGGCGTGGAGAAGGCAGCTGAGAGCGTGTGAGAGCTGTGAAACTGAGGGAAATTCCGCAGCCTTGTTACCACGAGCGCAGGAAAAGCAGGTGTAAGGGCCGGCGTGGCGCCCATGGCGCTGCTGGTGGCCAGAAGAATAACACAGGTGCGCAACTGGCCGTCGGTAGGTGGGACTGGATCCAGGTGCCTGGATGAAAAATAAAGATGCTGGAAAAGGGGAGAGTTTTGTGGCAATGCCAGAGGAAAAGAGGTCCATACCTCTCCCCTGGGAAGCCCAGCCTTGCTTGCCGTGGCAGTGGTTCCGGACCTCCTCCTATCAGCGGTAAATAAACCTCTACCACCTGGCAAACCTCCACCGCCAGTTCCTAGGGAGCCTTGGGGAATCTTGAGCTGCTATTTCCAACAAATCCACAAGGGGACAGCAGAGGACCAAAAACTTCAGGCCGGCAACCGCTCTGTGCTGCTGCCCTGACATTTTGTCCTTCACCTGAGTTTAAAACAGGCCTTTCTTTGTTCACAGGTTCAAACGCTTCAATACTTTTACTTTTTAAAAATAAATCTGATTTCTATAACAAGTCCCCATCCAGCCAGGCATAGTGGCGCACGCCTGTAACCCTAGCTACTAGTGGATCTGAGGCAGGAGAATCGCAAAGTCCAGGGCCAGCCTGGGCCACTTAGTGAGACCCTGTCTCAGAATAAAAAGGGCCAGGGATGTAACTCAGTGGCAGAGCACTTGCCTAACCTCCTAGTTTTAGAAGTACCCATTCTGATGGAATAACAGAAAATTAATGTAACATCAAGCCCAGCCCTAAATCAGCTCCATTTATGACTTTGTGTCTTGTCTGGTGCTAAAGCACCGAGAGGGTTGGGAGAGGTAATGTGATTGCTTTCTCTTTTAATCTTTGGTGATTTGCCTCAGAAGATGGTAACACAATCTCGTTATCAAGCTTAACCAAAAACAGATGTGGGCAGCTGGGCGTGGTGGCACACTCCTGTAATCCCGGCACTCAGGAGGCTGAGGCAGGAGTATCGCTGTGAGTTTAAAACCAACCTGGGCTACATAATGAGACCCTGACTCAAAAAACAAAACAAAAAACAGATGTGGGGCTGAGTGTGGCTCAGTGGTAGAGCACCCCTGCCTTCTATCCCAAGGACCATGAGAAAAAAAGAACCCAGAAATCAGAAATAACTCATGCTCTATACTAGATTAGTATAGAAGATAATAGGTTATCCTTGCCTTTGTTTATTCTATAAAGTGTATTACTGCGAGTGTACGCAAACAGCCATGACCATATTGGTGCAGTTTAAATGTGCACGAATTATTTTCATGATGAATAACTTGAGAATTCGTTTATAACTTTTAGGGGGGAAATATGGCTTCGAAAGGATATTTGACCAGAGAACAGGCTTCAAGATGATCCCATAGAGCAGATTGTATATTTTTATTATTTGGCAAAGCCATATTGCGGTTACCCATGGGAACTCTTCTGTCTTTACAGACAATAACTCATGGAATCCTCATGAAAACCCTGCATAGTAGTCATTGCTTAGGAAGTGGGAAATTGAGGTTAACTAATTTGCCCAAGGACACACGAATAGTAAACGGAAAAGCGAAAATTTAAATCTCGGTTCTCCGGCTCCAGAATCTATGAGATTAACCATCATCCTACCTATGCTTTGCCTCCAACTCCATTGCTTTAGAGAGAGTGGGGGTGGGGGTCAGGCGTGGGGTGAAGAGGAATTACCACAGCACAGATTCCCCCAAACCTCTGGACTTGCCACCTCCACGCGTCGTGCTTTGATTACCTGTATCTGGAAATAAAGTGAATTGAAAATGTGTCTGTCTTTTCCAGAGATGGTTACTCTTCTCAAGGCACTTGTGTGTTTCAGCGGGGTGGAGCAGGAGCCCACAGCTCCACCAGTCCCACCCTCCAAGGCCATTCAGGATGACGCCTGTCACAGGGGGGCCTTGCTGTCCCCTACCAAAACTGAAATTCAATGTCCAGGCTCCCCCCAATCCTATTCTTAGGCAGCTGACCATGGGAACCCAAGCAAGGGACCAGAAATTACTGGGAAGAAATGGGCCCTTGTTAGTTGCCGACTCTCCCTTCCCTCCCTCTGCAATGTTGACTCCAGCCTGCAGGCCCTAGGGCCTTGGCTGTCTCTGGGGAGGGGAGGAATGTGTGCAAGTCCTTCACCCCACACCTAATCCCACCTTGGGAGTTCCACGGGCAGTGGCGGCAGCGGCAGACAGAAAACCATTGCTTCTGGGCCCAGGAGAGGGGGCGCTGGAAGTAGACAGGTGGGTAACTTATGCAGCTCCAGAGGGCTCTGCTGTTGTACCCTAGGGGTCCCTGCTAGAAACAGATCCCTTAAAGCAAAGGACACTTGGAGCTGGGCAGTGGCTCAGTGGTAGAATGCTTGCCTATTGTGCGTAAGGCCCCAGATTCCATCCTCTGCACTGTAAAAGAAATAGAAAAGTAGGAAGGAAACTCAAGTAGAAAAAAGGGTGAGGCAATAACGAAGATAAACCTGTGTCCTTGGGACATTTTTTTGTGGGAGGTGGGAGACAAAACATCCAAAAGTTTCTGACTACTGTTCACACCCTGATCCCTGTAATCTGTGAATATGCCGCCTCTTCCTGGTGTATTAGTCTTTCCTGTTGCTATTACAAAATGCTGAAGCTCGATAGTTATAAGGAAAAGAGGTTTGTTTAGCTCACGGTCTGGGAGCTGAAATTCCAAGATCAGGTGACCAGAGCAGTTTGGCCTCTGGGTGGCTGGACATTGGATTCTGTAAAGACAGAGGGCGGTGATGGAGAGAGCGCACTCAGGAGGCAGAGGCCCTCGGGAGACTTGGAGGCCCGGCTTGCTTGTCATAACAACTCAGTCTCTCGGAAATGGCAGGGTCCCCGAGAACCACCGGAATCCCAACCCTGTGCAGCACCAGTGACCTCACCACCGCCCTCTCGTTCCCCCTAAAGTCTCCCGGCCCTCAACACCAGCAGAACATGAGCCCCTGGGGGACAGAACGCATCCAGCCTTGGCTCCTTGAGCTGCAGAGACTGACTCTGGGGCGCCTGGGTGGGCCTAGCCACACGAACCCTTGAAAGGGCAGAGCCTTTTCAGTGACGACAGACTTGACAAGAGAACGCCAACCCCCACTGCTGAGGCACCGAGGACCACGGGTGGCTTCTCTCCTGAAACCTCCGGAAAGAAACACAGCCCTGCTGACGCTGTTAGCCCAGTGAGAGCTCTGCCAGACTTCTGACCTGTGCGACTGCAAAGTGCTAACTGCCTATTGTTTAAACTGTTGAATATGCAGTGATCTGTTACAGGCACAGTAGGAAGCAGCTAAGGCCGGTTGGACGACTAAGACTTGTCCTCACTGACACCAGGCACTGGCTGAAAAAAACAATAGGGCTGTTCTCTAACAGGGTCTGAGAACTGTGAACCCGCAATGCAGAAGTACAGGGAGAGGGCTTCTGGGGCCAGGGCGCTGACCTGGAGTCACTGGTATCCTAGATCCTGGCCCATTGTTGTGGTTTGTATCTAGAGGTCCATTCAAAGCCTCACGCAGTCACCAGTGGGGCTTTTCAGAGGTGCCTGAATCTAGAGTGTGTGACATTGAGATTGATTCATGGTGCCGTGCTAGGATTGAGGGTGCTGGGAGTAAAGGTGGGTGATGACTAAGGCAGCGCCCTAATCCCAGGAGACTGCATCCAATATGAGGGACAGAAGGAGGCTTGTCTGGTCCCTTGCTTGGTTGCTTTGCTCCCTTCTGCTGCATAAACCATTTCTACTCATGATGCCACCCTGGCTTGGACCCAGCCAATCATGAACTAAAACCTCTACAAACCTTGAGCTAAATAAACCTTTTCTCCTGCAACTTTGGGCGTCCAGTATTTTGCCTCAGCAACAAGAAAAGTAACCAAGACACTCATCAGCAGCAGGTATTTTGTGCATTGTGCCAACAAGCTATAAATGGAAAACTTTGTCTCAAATCTGGGATCCCAGTGTGTCCTCTGAAGTGGAAAGAGGTCCAGGCCTGGCGGCACACTCCTGTAATCCTATACTCGGGAGGTTGAGGCAGGAGGATCATGACTTCAAGGCCAGCCTAGACTTCATTCAAATTCAAGGCTGGCTTGGACTTATGTAATAAGACCCTGTCTCAAAGCACAAACAAATGAAAAAGCTGAAAGAGACATGAGCTCATATTGGCACAGAACAACGTGAACAGTGACTTTGTCCTTCTGGTGAGTCAAACATCTACTCTCCAGTTCAACTCTGGCCTCCTCTAAGATTTTTGTTTAAGTACCAGGGACCCAGACCTCTCACACTGAGTTACATTTCCGGTCCTTTTTATTTTTTTCCTTCTTCAGACAGGTTCTCACTATGTCACCAGGGTGCCCAGACTGGGCTTGAACCTGCCCTTCTTCTGCCTCAGCCTCCCAGAGCTCTGGAAGGTGTGCACCGCCAGGCCAGGATTCTACCTATTTTCTTCCACGAGAGCTGCTTCACTCTTTAAGACCGTTTGCCTGTGACCTTCTGCTGTGAATCAGTCCCCCTGCCGTGTCCTGTCAGACATACAAACTACTCCTTAGCCCGAGAAGCCCAGGCTAGCCCCCTTCCCTGATTTTCTCCCAACCCCCTAACTGCCCCCCAGCCACTCTTGGAATGCTCTTTGTGGGCAGTGGGTCTGGCCTTCAGAAGGGCCTGGAACTTTTCCTCTGATTTGGTGAACTCTTAAATCTCCAGCCAAATTCCCACTTGGTCTCTGGAGCCAGCCTGCAGGTGGCTGGCACAGGGAGTCTCTCGGGAAGCAAGTGGGGAAGCCCGTGGAACGGGGCCCAGCCCTGTTGCTGGGAAGCAGGGAGGAGTGAGTATTTATCAGCTCCTAAACCAGCTTCTGCCGGTCTGGTCTGTGGAGTGAAACAGCCTCCATCTCTGCCCCGGTAACTCTCCCTGGCAGAGTTTATGTTTTCAAAGACACAGATATTAAGTCAGGCCCCTCCTCTCTGACTCTGGAGTTTATTGACAAACCGGGTTAAGGCTGGGCAAGTCCAGATTCTCAGTTATAATCTTGACAGAGCTTTAGCTCCTCATCCCGGATGAGATGTAACAGCCATTGGCAGCCTAGGAGAGGACGCATCGGGTGGTGGTGAAAACGTTAACTGGCGTGGGGACAGCTTGGGCTCCAGGAATGTTCAAGTCCATCCAGGACCCTCAGCATTCCAGCCCAGCCCTGCCTCACTTTGGCCCCTGCTCCAAGGAGGGGGGACCCTCATTTGTCCTAGGAGAAAGGAAAGAGATGCCCCAAAATTTGAGGCCCAAGGTGTGAAGGAACTGCAGCGAGGCTGGACATCATAGGGCAGGTTCACTCTTCTGCTCCGCTATAGCTGCTGAGC